AAAAAAAAAAAAAAAAAAAAAAAAAAAAAAAAAAAAAAAAACCGTAAACGGACTCGCCGATTCATTGTTCGGACTCGCCGATTCCGTACAGTGAATCGGCAATTTCACTGTACAGAATCGTCCGGTTCTCTCTAGAACCGGACGATTTTCGATTTTTTAGGCGATCCGGTCCCCTTTCACGATTTCCGAGTCGAACAGGGCGAGTCTGGTTCGACTCGGCGTTTTTTAAAACGCTGGTCTAAACAATAATCCATCCTCAACAACCCAACTTCAAATCTAACAACCAATCATAATTGTGATCTCCTTGTATAAAAAATAAACGGTCTCATTGTATACATTTTCATAAAAAAGAAGAATTGATGGATATACTCTAGCGGGATTCGAACCCCAACTCGACCAAAATTTATTCATTCATGCTAACCAATAAACCATCCGAACATATCTAATATAAAATTAAGGTAGTAGTATATTTAAAGTTTAAAAATGTGATGTACAATCTACTCGACCAAAACTAGCCTCGCCTATAGGGTGAGACCAAATTACTTGGCCAAGTCTGAGTTGCCTCGGTGAAGTCTCATAATAGTAGTTCTCCCTCTCCAAATCGTGGACCACTGGATTTTTATATCTCTCCTTCAACCTTTCTCTTTTCTCTTTTTGTTGTGCCATATAGGATTTTTATTCTTTATAAATGCTTTTTTGTCATTAATCGCATGAATTATATTGTACCTTGCCTTATCGTAGCAATTGACTTTTACTAGTATTGAAAGGATGTACCAGTTATTGATATTATTTAAATTTTGTATAATTTTATAATATAAGATTTTGAAATCTTGTATTAGCATTTGATATTCTTTACAAGAGGCAAGATGGTTCGTGCTCTTGTAAAAAAAAAAAAAAAAAAAAAGGACAAGATGGTTGTAAATCTGGTCCATGTAGATATTAGGTTGTAGGCAACAACGAAGACAACATAGATAGATTAAGAGCATAGTGGGTAAAGAATCAGTCTTAGAAAAGGATGAGTCCATTGAGGGTGCAATTGAGATGACCATGTCATTTTGGACGAATGCATTATAACCTTCGATATATATATATATATATATATATATATATATTTATTATGATGTAACCTTTGATTGGTCTATAAAAAATTTTGATGAATAAAATTTAGATTTACAAAGTAACATTTTTTAGACTGTTAATTTAGTTATTTTTATTTTTTGGATGCTTTATTGTTATTGTATGACATAAATTGTTCTATAGGTAAATAGAGAAGTACACTATAAATAGCATGCATATATAATGATGTTCTTGTTCAACTAATAATAGTCCGAATGAATTCAAATTTTCAATTTCAAACAATTCAAATTTTGGAAGAACACATTTCATTTCATTGAACCTAACTAGAAAAAATAATAAGAATGACAATGTGCGCATGATAATATACACTCTAGGAAACTGTTCACTTATATTACGTCCTAAAGAATGCAACCCACAGAGCAATCCAAGCAAAGAAAATCATGGCCGTCCATCTCGGAGGTCTAAGCGATCGAGAATCTCCGGTGCATGTGAGCTTGTTGTTGTAGTAAGTGCACACTATGCGTCCCCTGCACGCCCCCACATATTAACAATGTGTTAGGTTGTTGTTTCACACTGTTATTATTGTTCATTTATAATCCAGTTATATCCGTTATAAAAAAGAAATAAAATATCTTTTAATAAGTACAAAACCTCTAAAGATCTCAAAGGGCTCTAATTTCAGTCATTTTTTTTTTGGTAATCCAGTGGTCGGAGTCGAATTTGAGATGTAGCATTATTGACGTTAACGGCTAATGACTCAAGCCGAGCTTGATTTCGAGAGCAGGGGAATATTCTAAGCACAAGAGTTTGTTCTTTTATTTGTGATCTTGGGCCTTTTTTTTTTTGGTAATTCATTGAGAAAGACAGGCCCTACCCATTTTTTTGAATAGTTTAAGAGTTAGTTTTTTTTTAAATTGTTAGTAGAGTGATGTCAATAGAAATGAAAACCACAATGGGGTGACTACGATATGGGGATATGGGGGTACTACCACTACCCGACTAAAGTGAAGTTTGATCGAAATTTCAGCCCCTGCAAGAAAATTTCAAGATGAAATTTTTTTCTTTAAATAACAATAACGAAAGAGTTCAAAATGGGGCGGTTTGTAGCGCATTGAAAATGACATAGCTTCTGTGCTCCTACGGGAGCAGTTCCTCTGGTTCATTCCTTCAAGTAAAACGATTATAGGAAGTACTTCTAGGACCTAATAACTTCTCCTAAATAACCTTAAAAAAGAAACTTAAAAAAATTAAGTTTGTGGGATCGAGATCGAGATTGTCTAAATTTTTGGATTGTCAGATCTAAGTGTTTGAGAAATTGAACACATTTTTTTAAAAATAATCATTCATTGGAAATCCTAAAATTTCACATTGAAAAAAATCCACTTAAACAACCCTTTCCCATTCAAATGATTAACTGCACAGGATGCTCTTGTAGGAGCGTAAAATAAAGATGAATAGATATTAACACTTTCCAACCAATAATATATCTGCTTTAAAAAATAATACCAATTTTTTTTTATTAATCTATCATCTCAAATGCGCCTAATTTTTTCAATTACATTAAAAATACTTTATGGGTAATATTACGAAACTAGTTATTTTTTATACAAGGGTGTCATAATCACTTTTAGCCATTTGATGTGAAATCCAATAGATGAAAGTATGTCACAATATTTGAGAAATGTTATTTTGGACTTTGTGGCCAAATAATGCCACATTCTCAACCGCCGGATTTCAAATCTAACGGTAAGTGATGATTGTGACTTCCTGTAAGTGATGATTGTGACCTCTTTGTATCAAGAGTAAATAGTCTCATTATATACGTTTCCACACCTAATTTACCACAAAGTAAGTATAAAATCACTGATTTGGCTGACATCTACCTTTAAATAAATAGAGGTAGGAAAACATGAGATATTCCTTAATACTAATTTAGAAAACGAAATAAATATTACATACCAATTGGGAATCGCATTGGGGAGGTGGATGCCTCAACATAAGGTCCCAAAAAAAAAGAAAGAAAAAGCATACCAATTGCACCCTCATTTCAAAATTATCCAAGAGAAATCTAATTTACTGCAAAAACTGATATATCCAAAATTACAAGTTTGTTTGATATTTAGGGTTAAAAAATGAAAATCAAGAAAACTTCACATATTGCCGAAAAACCCCACCAAAAAATACAAAGAAAGTGGTTTCTTCAATGAGACCAGGATCGAAATGAAAAATAATGTGATGCATTGTTAGAAAACCCATAAGAAAATCTTAAAAAAGTGGTCGATTACCACAAAGAAAAGCACAAAAAAGAAAAATCACACACAAAGCAAACTATTATTAAACTTTATGAATTTTTCCTCTCTCAACATTCACAGTTACTGCAGGTTCTATCGAGGGTATATGGTTATGCCTGGAGAGGAATGATGAGAAGATCGGGGAGTAGTCGGCGGATGAGGAGCTCTGTGTTAAATCCATCTAGCCTCACGTATTTCATGATAGGTTTAAATGGTCACAACCTAGTTTTCTTAAATTTTGGAAATGTCCAATTCCTCATAAAGTGTAAGCTTGTGGATTATGACAATGAGAAAAATGTTGATGGCGGACTGAATAAGAACATGAGTTGCAATTATAAATGTTTGTCTAATGTGTAAAAAATACAAAAACATTGTAACCACTTTATTTATTTATTATGATTTCACACATAGTTTATGCAGTTGGGAATGAAGGAAGCTAGGTAATAGCTTGAATATTCTTACTTGACCAGATGAATATGCTTGTTTTTTTGAAGGTTACTTGGACGATTTGGAAATGTTTGACAACATATCTTTTGTAAGACGAATGGAAGGAGAGAAACGGGAGGGTCCTTTTTTTATATGAAAGTGTTAAAATAGGAGTGTTTTTTATGGTTGTATTTGTGTGATTCATCATCTATCATAATCCAAATCTTATTCCAATTATTTGGGATCGGCTTATATGAATCATGTTCCTCCATTCCTATCTATCAATGGTTGTACCTTCAGTAAGACCACAAGTCACTATATATTTTCTCACTATCTATCTGTGTCCTTTTGGACCTTCCCTTACCCTTTAGAGTCTTCCACCTGAATCAAATTACACAAACTAACTAGTGCCAAAAATTGTAAATTAAAATCTTGTACTCCATGGCTACCTAGATTTTGACTACACAAGAATGTTGGGGTATTCCAGAAATGACATTTTGTTCAATACTCATGAGGCTGTTAGGATGGCTTCTTGTAAGACGAGGCCATTGTGGGTATGGACTTCACCACCTTAGGAAAATTTGATGGAAGTTCTTTAGATAATCTAGGGGCAGCTGGGTATGGGAGTAATTAGGGACCATCATAATACTATTTTGGTGGCTTTTTTGGGCCCATGTGGTCAAGTTACGACAGACAAAGTATTAGTGTTGAGTGATCGTAATGGCTGAGGGTGATGGCTGAGGGTGATTCCTGAATACAATATAGTGGGGTAAGAAGGAGCATAGAGTACCTTGGTGTCTTAGATTGATTCGGTTTGAGATTGCAGATGATTTGGCTAAGCAAGGAGTTTTTAGGCAAGATTCGGCTAAGCAAGGAGTTTCTAGGCAAGATTCATTGATTATATCTTTTTAGTTGTATTCTTTGTCAGAATAATGTTGTGCTTTTTTTATGTTTTGAATAAAATGAAGGTAATGTTTATAAAAAAAGAAAAAAAACTGAAAAAGAAAGATGGGATGCCCCACATGGCCATATAGTTACCGTGGTCATATGAGTATGGCTTCTAAAGTCCAAGCCCTTTACCTCTTGGAGCAGAAGGTGACAATATAATCCGCATCCGCACAGGTAAAGATGCTGGCGGGATCATCATAGGCATAACTGTAAGCTGCAGGGCAAGCCTCCTTGAACTTCTTGGAGTATGATGTGGGCTGACAAGTGAGTGAGTTGCCATGCACCCCAGTGCAGCAATATTGCTCTGACCCGAACACATCGCAGGCGCTACGGCACCCCACCGTCTGACCGCCAGACTTCACAGCTAACTCTGAGGGGCATGTATCCCTCAAATCACCATCGCATCCTGCAGAACTACAATTTCCCCGACCATGAACTGGAGTCACCACCATAGGAAGGTTGAAGCCGTAAACAAGGCTAACATCATAAAAATCTAGGGCTCCAAGTGTGAATTCAGCTAGAGTGGCAGGGGTGCCCCCAGAGCCACCACATTTGAGGGAACTACCACATCCACCGGTCAGGCAGCTGCCATTGCCAGAGTTGTCAAAGGAACAGCCCGTGCTGCCCCAGATACGTCCGGACCATCCGGTGGGTGCGGTGAGGATGCGGGACTGCCCGGGCTCTAGGGCAAAGCCCCCACCAGCAAGGGCCTCACCAGGGGTAATCCGGGCCCACACAGTTTCCTTGCAGTCGTTCACGATTGTGAAGATTCGGGCTTCTACATGGCTTGGTGCAAGGCCTGAGAGGGGGGGTGAAATAGGAAATTAGAAATAAGAAGGGCTATCAGGGCCATAAGGGAGGCAAGTGTAAAAAGGAAAGGAAGAAGAAGAAAAAAGAGGTAATTGAGGAGAATGAATAGAGCCATTTAACCCATAGTCCTTAGTGTCAAATCACTGCCCATTAAAAATGATAAGTGAAGTGGAGAAAGTGGAACCCACAAAATAACACATGAAACCAATTGTTGGAAGAAAACCAGTTAAGATCGACATATGACCAATTTAGACCGGTCGGATCAACTAGTTTTAACCGATTCGACCAACTAAATCAAGTTGGGCACAATCTTAATACTTTTGTATATTTTTAAGTATTTTATACTTTTATCAGTTCAAACGGTTAAAACTATCTAAGCATGTTTGATAACAAGAAACAAGAACATGAAGTGGAAATTGAAAGTTATTGAAGAACTCTAAATTAGAAGTTACTTAAAAAGTTAATGGTTTATGTATTTGATAACCTCCCTGAGAAGTTAAGAAGTTCATAGTTTCTGTGTTTGATAACTCCAGGGATATATGGTAAATATCTTATATTTATATTTATATAG